CTTAACATTATAAACCCTATGTCATGTAACTACAAAATAAACCAATTTCTAACCCTAAATGGTTACTCTAACCTTTTTTTTTTACGTTTTTGTTTTCAAAGTATAATGTCATATTTGGCATTATTTAGTCTGCCACCTCCCCCCAACACAAAAAAGGTAAAAAATAAAGTTATGTTACCTGGAATCCAAGGTCTGGCAAATCTCAAGGCGCTGCTTTCCACACCTCTTTAGTGACGTCAGGGCAGTCGTGCAAGGTCCAATCAGGGGATTCCCATAGAGAAGGCTGTGAGTGGACCATTTTGCAGACTCAAAGTGCATACGGAAGAGGAGGGATGACATATTTTGGCAATGGCAGGAGGGAGACGCACAGGGTGGGAGAGGAGAGTTAGCTTCCTCTTGCAGGTGTTTTGCCTGCAATGGAGGAGATCTTTACATCCGTCGCCAGAATTTACAACATGCAGCTCGGAACTCTGTCACGTCACACGTGTGGGGGAGTGCAACTAGCCCGAGCACAAAAGTACAGAATAAATGCTAAAACACTGCGCGTACTTACTGCCACCACCATGGTCACTTCAAATCACTGAAGTGGTCATGGTGGTTGGAGTAACCCTTACTTACAGGAACACTATATCAATGAATTCATTAATTTTTATCGCATCACTTTTTTTTTGTGGTGAATTGGGTCTCGTTTATTTTTAATAGTAGCATTGACAATTCATTTCTTTTGGGAGGGAGCTGATGAAAAGATTTAAGAAGGGAAAAAAAGTCTGACACATAAACTTTAATCTTTTATTTTACAGGTATTAGATTTATTGGGGCCCCTCACTATTATTAGGGTGATACAGATTTTGTTTTAATGGGGGGGGGGGACTGGCTTGACAATATGTCAATCTCCCTTTATTTAATTAATAGCCTCCACCTGATGCCTATGGGTGGGAGCTGGGGGGAGAACAATAGGTCCCACCTTTACTATATTATTAGCCTCATTTGGCACCATGGGCCTTCTGTTAGTAGCCACCAGACACTGCCAAGTGGGTGGTGCTGGGGTCTGTATATTATTATTAGCAACAGCCAAACACACATGGGTGGAGGGACACGAAGTCCTAAACTTGTGTACTGTATTAGTAGCCCCCACCTGACGCTCACAGGAAAATAGCTGATCACTGTTTAGTAGACATACCCTCACCGCAGTATGATGAGCGCACGTATGTCTACTAAATATGGTGGTTATATTGACCGTCATAGGCTTTTTAAAAAGTTTATATTTGGAATGACTAATGTACCGATGCGCATTTATCGATGGTTTAATTTCGAGCTGTCAACCTGCTTATTGGGTTTGACTACTTGAATTTTTAGCAAGCATTAAACAGTTTTTTGGGGGCGAAGCCTAGCCAGCGAGCTGACAGGACGTGCTCTGCATGAGCTCCTGCCGACGAGTGCACAAGCTGCTGTTTAACCCGAGCTGCAGCGCCATAAACCTCCTGCAAGTCGGTCCACTGCACTGGGGAAACCTACCCGCCAAAATCGACACCCAGGATAACCGGGAACCGCAACAGTGGAGTGAGGCCTACCGTGGGAGGCGGCAGGAAAAGGCGGCTGCTTTCCCGCCAGTCGCATACAGCCACATACGAGCATGCAAAACTCCCCACCCATGGATCGGTGGGGGATATCCCGGTCCCCACCAAACGGAGAACCCCAAACCCCCCGATCCAGCCAGCGACGCATACTAGCAATGTGGGACTCAGGGCCTCCAAAATGGCGGACACATTTGATCCAGCTATGCGAGACAAACACCAGCCTACCAGGCCAGACACTAACAAGAATGCGAGAGACCGATCAACATAATCTTCGAAAAATTTTGGGCCAAACTACTGACATGCCTGCAGATCACTGGGCCAAGTCATATAAAGCCTACAAAGCAAGCAGCCCCGGCAGAGGGGACACCTGGAACACCGCCTACAGGCGTTTGGGAGCCCCAAGCTACAGACTCCCGAAACTGGAGCCCTCCTGGACCAAGAGCGAAAGGGGTTATACCCCACAGGTGCCAGCCACACTGGCGGAGGGGGGTAAGACATAAACGATAGCGACCTGTGAACAGGACCCACCACAAAATCCTGACAGGGAAGACCCTGGGCCACACCGGAACCCAGTCTCATGGCAAAAGGGCATCAACTCTCAAATGGTACCAGGTCAGAAGGGTAAAAGTGACGCACCAGAGTCCCAAACGGCCCTCAGGAACACTGGACTTGGTTACCTCCTGGGGGCCCCAGGACTGGGGCGCACCGAATCAGGCCCCTGACGAAGCCTGGAGCGCACAAGCGGAAGGTGATATGACATCCATGAAATCCACAATTCTGGTCGCTGCCTGGACCCGAGCGGCCTACACGCAACCCCATCGGCTCAGCAGAACAGGCGTCTGCTGACTTCGGGCCACCTTGAGGACTGAGGCCTAGACACTCCACTCGAGCACTGGGAAAGGTTTCTGCGCAACAGCATGAACTCTCATTTTGTTAACTTATGTTGCTCTGCTGTCTCCTCTTATCTATAATTTCAAATAGCTAGGCACTCAGTACTAAGCTCCAAGGGAAAACAAAGCTTAAATGTGTTTAGGCACTAGCAGCCAGAATTTTCCAGTTTTTTGTGACATTTACTGGTGCATCAATCCCCACTATACAAGTGTTTCCCAGTCTAGTCTAGACAGGTCACACTAGCCCGTTCCTGATCCTTAATATAAACTCGCATAATAATGTAATGCAACGCACCTTAAGTCTTACATATAACCACTGTTTGAATGTGCATATATAGACTAGACAATCTTCTATAGTAACTCACGTTTTGCTAGCCTGTACATCACCCTAAGCTGAATAAGCTAAATAATCACAGTTACACTTGAAGGGTTGTGCCAGCTGCAGCTTATGACCCTTGCTTAAGAAGACTAATATCTGCTGATCGAACCAGCCCACATATGCTAAGCGATGAACCGAACGGTATTACCTATCACATAATTATTAAATTGTGCATCTAATCTATTTTGAACATGACTTCATCTCCTAACTAAAAATTGTGCAAGTACTAATGTATACTCCATTGTTACTAATATCTGCAAAGCATGAGGATTGCCTTTGGGGTACCCCGTGCACGTTTGTTATTACATATGCAGTGCAAAAATAAAAAAATAATAGTTTTTTGCCAATAGAATTAAATCAAGGCCAAAAAATATTTTTATGCATTACCTACATATCACCAAGCAGACCTTGAAGAAATGTCATAAATCAATTTGTACTAGTAAGGCATGAATAATGGGAGTTGTAGATGGGATATGAGAGACAATAGAGAATTTTTTCTTCTTACCATTGAAAGTCTTTCTCCAGACCTACAGAATATGAATGTTTTACGGTAATTATAGGATTTATTTTATATCACTCTTGCTATTTGAAAGTCATGAAATGTAGATAGGACTTTTATTTATACCTTCCATTTCTGTCTTTTGTTGTGTATAGGGAGAATAAACCAATGCATTTGTGAACACATTCCTACATGGAAAGCTAAAGATCCTTTATAAACGCAGACCTGATCTTGGCTACAATAATAATTCAGAATTTACACTTCTGGGCAGGGTCGGACTGGGGATACAAAGCAGCCCTGGAAAAAAAAATTGTGCCAGCCCCATAAGTCACTGCGCCATATATTGTCACGTGTAATATGTAAGGTTATGTCTTGCCAGGACAGATGATTGAGTAATATATAATTGTACCAGCCCCATAAGTCACTGCGCCATATATTGTCACGTGTAATATGTAAGGTTATGTCTTGCCAGGACAGATGATTGAGTAATATATATATATATATATATATATATATTGCTTTTTCTAATATAAAATATTGGTCCTTTCAGGGTAAAACGTTTAATTATACAGTAAGCATACTCACATGCAGACACAGGCAATTTCACTGACATTTCAGTGACACACACAAGCTCATTGATACACAGCCTCGTAGACAAACAATCTTACTGATATACAACAGCTCATTGACATAAAAACACAAGCTCACTCACTAGCAGGCACAAGCATGCAAGCAAGCTCACTCACTAGTAGTGATGTCGCGAACCCGAAATTTTCGGTTCGCGAACGGCGAACGCGAACTTCCGCAAATGTTCGCGAACCGGCGAACCGCCCGAAACGCCATTGACTTCAATGGGAGGCGAATTTTAAAACACACAGGGACTCTTTCTGGCCACAATAGGGATGGAAAAGTTGTTTCAAGGGGACTAACACCTGGACTGTGGCATGCCGGAGGGGGATC